TGATTGTATACAAGATAGAAAATATATGACAACTTTATCAAAATTTCGGGTATCTGCACATAAGCTATTTATAGAATCCGGACGATATACGAATATTCCGCGAGAGCAACGGTTATGTAAGTCCTGTAACATGAAGAGAGTTGAAACAGAGTTTCACTTCTTGATGGTGTGTCCTAGATATAGGGAGCTTAGAAAAAAGTTTTTAAAGGGATATTTCTGTAGGTGGCCGACAATTAATAAATTTGAATCTTTATTAAATTCTAAATCGAAAATAGAGCTAAACAACCTTTCGAAGTTTTTATATTTTGCCAATAATGAGAGAATATCTTGATGATGTAGTATCAATTAATATCATATTAACATCTTGGTGTAGTGTCAATATCATATTTAAGACATTTTGTGCAACCTGCTATTTCCTAAGTATTTTAAGACCTTTCAGGAAATAGTGTTTATATTATATTTTCATTCCATGTCAGATCTCATTTTCATGAATGTATATATATATGTTTTGTTTTGCTATAAACATTGTAATAATGTTTTATTTGCAATAAAGTTATTTGTATTGTATTGTATTGTATTGTATTTTATAATGTATGCAAATTTTATATATTATATAAAATTATGTCGACAATTTATTAAGTAAAAACACTGCTGACCAATTTAATGTTAATTCAAATTGATTTAAGCCGTAAAACTCTTCTTATTCTATATGGTCAGCAAATTTAACGCTCTTTACATTCAGGCGAGAAAATGCTGACCAGTTAAACATACAGTAGAATCTGCTGACCAGTTAGATATATAGGGAAACTGCTGACCAGTTAGATATATAGAGAAAAATATATTTTGTCGTGAAATTTTAATTCATTTTATAATGTACGAAATTCAATATATTGTATAAAATTTTGTCGACATTTAATTAAGTAAAAACACTGCTGACCAATTTAATGTTAATTCAAATTGATTTAAGCCGTAAAACTCTCTTATTCTATATGGTCAGCAAATTTAACGCTCTTTACATTCAGGCGAGAAAATGCTGACCAGTTAAACATATATAGTAGAATCTGCTGACCAGTTAGATATATAGAGAAAAATATATTTTGCCGTGAAATTGTAATTCATTTTTATTATGTATGCAAATTCAATTTATTTTATAAAATTATGTCGACATTTAATTAAGTAAAAACACTGCTGACCAATTTAATGTTATTTCAAATTGATTTAAGCCGTAAAACTCTTCTTATTCTATATGGTTAGCAAATTTAACGCTCTTTACATTCAGGCGAGAAAATGCTGACCAGTTAAAACATATACACATGTAGTAGAATGTGCTGACCAGTTAGATATATAGGGAAACTGCTGACCAGTTAGAAATATAGAAAAAAATATATTTTTGTCGTGAAAATTTTAATTCATTTTATAATGTACGAAATTCAATATATTGTATAAAATTTTGTCGACATTTAATTAAGTTAAAACACTGCTGACTTATTTAATATTAATTCAAATTGCAATTATTGCTTTTGAAAATACATTTTTTTTTCCGTTACAAGATTTTTCTATTGAAATATCACTAACAAGAGATTTTGATAAAACTCATAACATAATAATTCTTTATAAAACATTAATTCAAATTTTTTGCATATCTTTAGAGGTATAAAAAGCTGTTTAATATATCCTTTTTTAAAATCACGGATTTATATTACATGTAGTAATGTAAATCCGTGTAAAATGTATGATATTATGGTACTTTAAATGTATATATTAATTTAGTTTATAAACATAGTCATATAAATGCAAAAATTAAAAATATAATTAAAAGAATAAAAGTAATTTCCCATCTTTTTATTACCCCTACGGCGTGTTTATATAACTTCACACCTTCAATGTTTCCCTTCTTTGTGTAACTGGTCAGCATTTTCCGATAATCCTTCTTTATTTAACTGGTCAGCAGTTTCCTATATATCTATATCGTCAGCTAATTCGTCAGCAGTTTAGTGCGACCCCTTCCATGATCGCACCGTTTTGTCGGTGAGTTAGTAAATTCTGACCAAGCACCGGTAGACGCACGACAATGCGATACGATATTATTCCAAATGTCGCTTCGCATTGTCGAGTGTCGCTTCGCGTTGTCGAGTATCGCTTCGCGTTGTCGAGTGTCGCTTCGCATTGTCGAGTGTCGCTTCGCAATGTTGAGCGTCGCGGTGTAAAAATCATAAAAATAACGCGACATTTACTCGACATTTTAAAAATGTCGCTTCGCGATGTCGAGTGTCACTTCGCATTGTCGAGCGTCGTATCGCATTGTCGCGTTGTCGTTTCGCATTGTCGAGTGTCGTGGTATGCACTTCTACCAACCTCGACACTCGACAATGCGAAGTGACAATGCGACAACGCGAAGTGACATCGCGACAACGCGAAGTGACATCGCGACAACGCGAAGCGACGCTCGACAATGCGAAGCGACACTCGACAACGCGAAGCGACATTTCTTAAATGTCGCCCTTTTTTACCGCGACATTTCTAGGCGACAGTGCGACATATCGTTTGACACTGTCGAGCGTCGCTTCGCATTGTCGCATATCGCTTCGCGTTGTCGAGCGTCGCTTCGCATTGTCGCGATGTCACTTCGCATTGTCGTGTGTCTACCCTTAGACGCGACGGACGACATTCTAAATGGCACGATAAGGACACCGTATTTACACATATTCTATTCAGAATATTTGCACATAATGATAGTAACAACATATTACAATAATTATAGATTTTGGCTGAAAATAAAAAAAACCTATATAAGCCATTATCTAACAATCTAACAACAATCTTCAATGTCAGTGGTGGTTGTAATTAACAAGTTTCCAAAAAGTAGTTTGTCAAGTTAACGGAAGTCGCAATCTGTATCTGTTGATTATAATGCTGATAATTCGTAACATTTAAATCAGAAAGAAAATCAAATACGTAATAATGGAAATGCCGTGAAATAATATACATTATTGGGAAATGTTTCAAGATAACAAAATGATCAAACAATTCTATATCGCCATGTCACGCTCAACTTTTTCGTCAAATAAAATGCTTAAATTTTAAAATTGTCTTACTGTCTATCCCCCTTAAACTGACTTCAGCAGCGTTTTTTTGTCTGTCTCTAGATAAACACCACAAGTATATCTGAAACTTTTCTAGTTTCAGACGATAACAAGTAGAGATTTTGATGCTAAAGCATCAAGTCGCCGGATAGAAATATGATTGCATTATCATAAATAAAAGAAAATATCAGTTTAATGGTTCGAGTATAAAGAAAAGAGGAACAATTAGTTGAGAAATGTTTATTCATATACACATTTTCATGTTTATCTTTCTTGCTATAAACTTTGTAAAAGAGTTTTATGCAATAAATCTATGTTGTGTTATAATAAAACATCATATTTGAAGCAAACTTGCCTACTGTAGCAATTGTGTCAAGAAACTGTTATCATTATTAAATAAGGAAGTATAGTTTGGCAATATTTACCCGAGACTCAATAATTTTCGGGAGCTGTTTCGTTTGCTTACATTACTTATTATGATTAATGTTAACGATTTTATTGTTAGTATAACCATGGATTTATATTAATGTAAATCCGTGATATAACTACATGTATAATTATATCAATTAATACTGCTCGATGGCCTAGTGGTAAGTATGACGAAGTTCTAACTTACATGTAGTAGGCGCAAGTTTGAATCTCGGACAAATCCTGTGTGTAGTTTTCACAAATTGATTTTTATCATATCATTTAACTTTATGAAACATAAGTTGATAAATCGTGTGTTTCATTTCTAGCACTTTTTTATTTCATAATTTTGATAAACGGTCAAGTTTTGCAAAATACAAAAAGTATTATAAAAGAAAACATAAAAAAAAATCACTTTATCGAACCTTTATACAGTCTTCAATTTGAAACTAACTTAAATTTAACACCTTGTCATCGAGGCTTGTAAAGCGAGTGATATGATTATAATTCTACTTGTAATTCTACTTTATACATATACCGTTGTACCATACATTTGAAATCCGTATGGGTTTCTTCAGCATCCGATAATTACCGACAAATTATTACCGATCATCGAATATTTGCAAAGTGGCTATGAAAATATATATGCTTAATTATTGCATAAAACAATGCAATTCTACTGGAAAAGTGGTGTCTGCATGAAATCAATATTCCTGTCATTACATACGATAAAGTTAACGTTTAATTGCCTTTCAGTGCGATAAACTATCAACACAAAGATGGTTTATTAGTTTTCTCTTTGTATTCAATACTATTCTGGCCCCTACTGTCATACACAAAATTACTTTGATTTGCACTTTATCAATTGCCAACCATTCACAAGTTACCTGTATGTCTGTCGAATCAGCCATTTGTTACTATTAATAGATTTTACAACAATAACATACAACGTGTTGGGAGAAACTGTTTGTAATAAATAAGATAAAAATAGAATAGGACTCATAATATACAAACAACCAGATAATTTAAAAGTGTCATTTCAAATATCATGCATGATTTATTTATCATAAAATAGCAACGCTTGACACTTAAAAAAAGTAAAAGCATCCCTTAATTCAATGACTGGTCCATAGGGATACGTCATTAATTCATTTTATAAAAATTGTAATGTTGCTTTTTTATATACGATGTCAATATTTGAATATTTCATTTCATTGAGCAACATTATTGTATGTTTGAATTTTTGAGATTACTGAAAACAAGTGTACTCTTAAATTGTTCAGTAATTGTTATGCTTTTATTTACAGAAATTAATGCCTTCTCCTACCATAGGTATAATATTAAACTGTTACAAATATAGTCGCCGGTTTCTAAGAAAATTTTTTTTAACAATTAAGATCGATCCTATCTTCCCTCTTCCATTTGTTTAGATAGTTTTCCCCTATAAATGTCTGTTACTTAAAAGATATCAAAACGTTATAAAAAGTTTTACGGTTAAAATATACTTACTGTCATGTAGATTTGGAAGTAGCAATATATCATGGCACCAAACGGAAGAAAGAAGCAGAATATAGATATTGTCACAACATATGTTGTCGTACTTAAACTTTTGTCCTCCCATAACAGACCACAGTAAATCCCTGCAGCCTCTAGGCCATAAGAGCTCCAACCAAAGAACGGAAATATAGACCAAAAAAATCCAAATGCAAAGCATGCAGCAACAGCAAGAACGGCAACTCTTTTCGTTATCATGGCGGACCTCAAAGGTTTGGCTATCACGATGTACCTATCAATGCTTATAGCAGTCAGCAAATACATCTCAGTTAGACCAAATGTATACACGACAAATCCTTCCCAGTAGCAGAAAAATTCGCCGGCAAACCAGGACCCATGAAGCCCCGAAGTCGTTGCTAATGGGTTACCTAAAGTTGCCATGGCGAGGTCTCCTAAAGCGAGCCCTATTATAAACATATTCGTCGGTGAGCGTATCTGCTTGGATTTGTAGAAAGTATATAATACCATAATGTTTTCAAAAAATCCAAATATTCCAACAAACAGCAAAAACAAACCAAACATTTGGTGTCCCCATTTCGGGAAGTTAAGTCGTTTAATTTCCAACACAGATAATCCCTCATAGGGGTCGTCTGAGATATCAGACGAATTCAGATACATTTTCTCAATATAATAACATAAAATCGAACAATAAATCAAGGATCTACTTGATACATAGAAATTCTGCCACCAGTGAGAATTGTCATAGTGTCACTCGTATTTATATGTCTACTCTAGTTCAATAAGAATTATTGTTAATAAAGCTCTCCAAGGATTGGTCAAACCAGGAGCTACTTTTTTATTCTTTACGTCTGCATTAATACCATAATGGGTAATCTGAAGCAAGAAATCAAATGAAAGTGTCTCTTTTAGTTAGATTTTCAAATAAGTTTCTAAATTAATTACATATCTAATGGACTCTTACATCAAAGAATAGATCTCATTTATTGTTCACTTTAATTTTTTTAAACTTGTTTTTTACTTATGGCATAGCCAAGTTGTAAACCATGTACAGGGTGTTCGCAAAATAAGTACTGGTGATAAAATACTATTCAAATGTCATGCAGGTAGCAGTATTCACTAGGAAAAACGTAAATTTTTGTAATATGTTTGATTCCTCTCCACATTAAGCTCGCTATAGATGCTCGTAGATGGTTCCTAGCCTTCAGAGTCTCAATTTGCAGTCTATTATCATGAAAATTGAAGTTCTTGTGAAAACAGCCACAGAACTAAACTATATTCTGTAGTATAGGTCTCTGTAACAGTGCATGATTGGAAAACTGCATAAACATGACTGATGCAAATAATACAACACTAAACTGACCAATCGTATAGTAATAAGTTGTTGAGAGTAATAATAAATGATTATTGTTGAATAATACTGTCCAATCAAACCAACATAAGACTGACAGCTTACATATACTTGAGAATATAGTTGTAACATCTCTTTGTAATTCCTTGTAAAAAATATCAAAATGTGTACTCCTGATTATCAAAGAACAGCAAAAACTTTAGCAACACCCGGTCTATGTCGCATTTGCTTTTGATCGACAAAAATCTTTGAAATCTAGATACGTAATTATTTAAGTGAATTTGTCTGAAGCGTGTTTTAGCACGACTTTCACTTCTATGACGAGAGATACTACAAATATGAAGAATATGTAGAAATATGTTACATGTTTGCTGCGAATTGTTGCATTGTTTGACCGATTAGCAAGTATAAAGAAAGTAATTTGTTATTAATAAACCACATTTTTCATGAAAACTAATACTGGAATCAAATTTTACATTTCTCAAACATTTACAAAGTCAATATAGTTCATTTACTAGAAGGAATTTTTGTCACAAACACATAGGTCTCCAAAAAATATGTACGGTACTGATCATTCCTGTGAAGTTTTGTTTAAATCACGCCAGAAGTTTAGCTACAGTAAAGCTCTGGTGGCCATTTTGTGAAGTGTAAGATGGTGTTGGAGCTGGTGCGTTTCAATTCTAAGCCAAGAAATATACGACATAACATTTAGTTCTCGTTGTGTATAAGATGCTTATTAAAATGATAACTGACAATATGTGCTTTGAATGTCACATGTAATATTCTATTGTTATGTCTTGTGTATTGCGATACATTGTAGGGGTAACAAGTCAGATTTGTGTTGATTAACACCACGTGTTGTGTGACCACGCAAACCTTTTTAAACAAAACTGTAAATTTTAAAATATACGTAAAATAAAGTCAGCTACATCGTACAAAATTGTTATATCATGTTTTCGTTATACATGTTATTACAGGCTTAATATTTCAACATGATACCTTCAAAATAGTTGAGACAGACTAACGATGTACATGTTTAAATTATTTTAATATTAGTAAATAGATATTTTTGGAATATCAGATGTTTATTTATTAATCATTTTTCCATCAAATTTAATTACATAATGTTTAATGTTTTGCCCTTCATTCCATAATATTGATCACAATTAATATGTTTAATAAACAATGGTGACATTTTGATATACGGTATAAATTTTGATGCTGGTCACGATATTTTAATCTTCATGAATGTAATTAGATGAAAGTTGACACGCAATGCTTACTGAAAGTTTTATAGTTTGTACTCCCTGTCCGTGTCTGTCACGAAACGCAACTTCCGCCTTCATGAAGCCAAAACACCATTTAAAAGCGAATGACGTGAATCATGACCTAAGCTTGATGTTAAATTATCATTACAGTTCATGTTTATATAAGATAACAACAAAAAAATCTTGACTGATACTCGACCAGCATGAATCTAACAATTTATATCTGATAAACTATGATGTCTACATGTTTCTTTTATCACACATACTAACTGTATTTATTGTTTGTACTTTGTGACTTATATATAAACAATGATATATCGTTTGATAGAATTTTGTAAAGCCACCTCTTTACGTTTAGCCAACGGACGATTGGGACATGATTGCGTAACCGGTGAATATACATATTATAGCCGGCAATCATGCAGTACAATAGATTACTTACTGTTAAAAGAAATTGATTTTCATATCGTTCAATCGTTCACTGTTAACCAGTTTGACTTGTTTAGTGACCATGCATCATTGAGTTTTAAGATATGTGGCGATAAACCACCGGATTATGATGTTTACAATAAAAATCATAACGTTTATTATAAATGGAATGACGATCATAAAATGTTGTTTAGAAGGTCATTGTTGGGAAAAATGAATGAATTTTAATAGTATCATGAATGTAAATAATGTTCAAGAAATAAGTACTGTAAATGATTTAGTATCAAATTTTTCTCACTTGATTGTGAATCAGCTGATTTGTTTTTTAAGAAAAATGTTTATTGTAAGAGTGCAAAAAGGTATGATAACTCTTGGTTCGATACTGAATGCGCTGATGCGAAACGCATATATAAAGAAAAGTTGTATATTTTTAACAATGATAAGTCATGTTTAAACAGATTATCTTTATGTGATTCTAAAAAGACGTATAAAATGATTTTGAGAAAAAAGAAAAGAGCATTTAATTTAAAGAAGTCGCAAGAATTAACTAATTTAAAAACCCGTAAACCAAGAGAATTTTGGCAATATTTTAAACAACAAAATAGACGTACGGGGGACGATATATCTGCTAAAGAATTTGAAAAGTATTTTTTGAAATGTTTAATGAAATAAAAACAACAATCATTCCCGAGGTTGAAACATTTATTGATGACGGAAATACTAATACAAATAACCCTACTTTTGGTGAATTAAACATGCCGATTACCTGTGATGAAGTTTGTGCTGCTGTTCGCAAATTAAATCGTAACAAATCTGCATCGCCAAGTGACAATTTACTTAATGAATATTTTATTGAAACTATTGATATCTTGGTAGGGCATATTACAGATTTATTTAATATTGTTTTTAACGCAGGTTATTTTCCAGAATTGTGGACGCAAGGTTTTATTGTACCTTTGCATAAAAAGGGGGATAATAGAAATGTAAATAATTACAGGGGTATAACATTAATCAGCAATTTTGGTAAATTATTTACTAGTATTTTAACTTCAAGGGTAGAAAAATGGTTTGATGATAATAATATGTTATCAGACGCCCAGTTCGGTTTTAGAAAAGGGCTCAGCACTGTGGATGCAATTTTTGTTTTACATAATTTAGTACAACATATGTTATCTGAAAATAAAAGATTTTCCGTGCGCTTTTGTCGATCTTAAAAAAGCGTTTGACTCTGTGTATAGAAACGCGCTATGGTATAAATTATTTAAGATGGGCTTGGATGGTAAAATTTTAAATATATTTAAAGCTATGTATTCAGTTGTAAAATCTTGTGTAAAACATTGTAATACATTTTCTGACTTCTTCAATATATCGATAGGTTTAAGGCAGGGACAAAATAATTCTCCGGCACTTTTCGCATTATTTTTAGAGGATCTTGAAATTATTTTTACAAAACCGAATGGATTGTGGTCTCAATATTTATGAATTATGTATTATTGTTTTATTATTTGCCGATGATATGGTGATAGTTGGCAGATCACAAGAAGACTTACAAAAATCGCTAAATACCTTGTATGATTATTGCAATAAATGGGGACTTGAGGTCAATACGGATAAAACCAAAATTGTTGTTTTCCGTAAAAGGGGACAGGTCAAATTAAGTGAAAAATGGTATTATAATGGTAAACATATTGAAGTTGTTAACGATTTTAATTATCTAGGGGTTGTTTTTAATTATACAGGTTCTTTGTTTTAAATACGCAGTGCTTAGTAGGGAAAGGTTTAAAAGCTATGAGCATTTTATTGAATAAGATAAACAAATTTCATTTAAATCCTCGTGTTTTCACTACAATTATTTGATGCCTTTGTTGGCTCAATACTTAATTATGCGTGTCCGGTTTGGGGTTTTACTAAATCTAAAGATATAGAAAGGGTACACCTTAAGTTTTGCAAATCAATATTAGGAGTAAAACAATGTGCTAGTAATAATGCAGTGTATGGCGAATTAGGTAGATACCCCTTACATATCAACAGATACGTACAAATCATTAAATTTTGGCTTAAGCTTGTCAATACGGATAATATTATACTGAAAGAAATTTATAGATATACAGTAAGCAATAGTTTGACTGGTGTAAATAATTGGGCTCAAAATGTAAAATCCTTATTAAATGAATTTTGCTTTTCTTATGTGTGGGACAACCCAATAAATATCAAAAGTAGTTTCTTTTTATCTGAATTTAAGCAAAGAGTTATTGATTGTTTTTAGGCAAAAATGGCATTCAGACATAGAAAACAATATTGTACTAAACACTTTGTATAGTTATATCAAAAAAGACTTTTGTTTTGAAACTTATTTAAGAAATATTTATTGTAAAGGTATACGTATGAATATTGTAGAATTAGAATATCTGCTCATAACTTAAGGATTGAAACCGGTAGATACGGACGTAATAGAACTCAAAGAAATGAAAGATTATGCCAATTATGTAACTTACCAGAAATTGAAGATGAGTATCATTTTATTTTAGTTTGTCCATGTTATCAAGATATTCGAAGAAGATTTATCAAGCGTTATTACTATATTAGACCTTCTATGTATAAATTAGTAGATTTACTACAATCAGATAATAAAGCTATACTTGTAAATTTAGGAAAATATATAGATGTAGCTA